ATTTGAACAGTCAATTGCAAATACTTAAACTAATAACAAAACATACTTACAGTAGCTGATTCAGAAGCGCCAGATTGTCATAGCAGATTCAGAATTATCTCCTCTCCTAGGTTCATGAAACGGTCGTCCATAAAATGCATTGCTGTTCTGTTGTAAGTGATCTTAAAGATTCCTAAATGCATCTACTTTCGGAAGGCCAAATAAAGTGCTTTTGCTTTCGCCTAGAAACACACAGCGTCTCCTTGACATGGCTGCTTCAACACTAACTGCTGTTACTGAAACCATGCCTTCTTTCTTTGCGTGCACATTTGGGCGGCATTATGCAAATATTTCCACATAGTGAGGTAGATGTGGGGGCGTGTTAGAACGAGCCGTTTTAGGGGGGCGTGGCAGAGTCTTAACTTTGATAAAGAATATCTCTTTGGTTTTGAGACTTTAGTCTTTGCAACTTCAGGGATCTTATCTATGCACAGCTTGTAACACTCCAAAAGAGAAAGGAAAACTTGAAATCGCATCATATGACCCCTTTAATATATTTATTTGTTTGGCCATTGTCGTTGCAGGTTTGGGTTATTTTCCCATTGTATAAGGACCTTTGAAATAAATGAAATCATTTAACGAAGTGAGATGGACATGTACTAACACCATGTCGAAGCAGAATGTCCGATGACCACATGGAGCAAGTCCTCTTCAGTGCATCTGTTCTTAATTTATATTTGCTTGAAAAAAAAAATGCACATTTGTATTCTGTATTTTTCTGTTACAGAAACATTTCTGTTGTTTCTGGTTTCATTGCAGAGCATAGTTACAACTACATGGCATTTTCTTAAGTATTTTATATTGTGCATCAAATAGTTTATATTTAGCATCATAATAAATCTAAGCATTTTTGATATTGCGTTTTTTTTTGTTTTTTTTTTAAGTAACCCTCCCAAGCCTGGATTTTATACACAATGATTTAAAGAACCAGCAGACCCGCTGTTTCCTTTAGAACGTGAGTCTTAGTAGATTAACCTTCTAATCCTGCCCTAACCAGGTCCATAAAACAAGTGTACCATTCATGTTTTAAAAATGTAGTGTGACATTCACAATGTCTGGTACACAATAAGCAGGATTAAACAATAATGACAATAATGGTGACCTAGATGCCACTGAACATTAAAACTGGCAAAGATAAATAGTTGCTTTCCTGCAAGTGCAGACAAGCCCAAAGAGCAGTTATGGTTTCATAAACTAGGCCAGTTTTAAATATTGTGATGAGTAAGTGCCTTGACTTGAAAAAGATTAAATATTTAAGAAATGCCATATGAAAGGCATCATTTCATAACCAAATATTTTATTTAATAATATGAAATGTTTTGCACACATCAAGATGAGTACTAAATAGTACTAAACACTAAATAAATGCTATATATAATATTTAAAAATCCATTTTTACAGGAAAAAAAATGAACTGAATTCAAAACAAACATTTTGTAAGTCAGCAAGTCAAAATATTTTCTGAGAATGACTCAACTGCTACTCAAAAGGAAGTGTTGGATAAAGGTTAATCTCTTGAGAAATAAAGTGCAAGAGCATCTGATCTCATGCCCACAAAGAGTGAATAAACAATAGATGTGTTGACCAATAAACCCACTAACGAGTAACGTAAATCCTTCTGGTTTCAGAGACCAATGATGGTCAATAAATAAATAAAAAATCCCTTGATGACATGAAAGTATGTGTTAGAAAGAAAACCAAATGGGGATTTCAGCCTTCTGGGAAAAGCACTAATAACTGTACAGTAAAAATAAAGTGAAGTGAGTGAAGTGACATGTGGCCAAGTATGGTGACCCATACTAGGAATTAGTGCTCTGCATTTAACCCATCCTTAGTGCACATACATAGCAGTGAACACACACACACCCGGAGCAGTGGGCAGCCATTTATGCTGCGGCGCCCGGGGAGCAGTTGGGGGTTCGGTGCCTTGCTCAAGGGCACCTCAGTCGTGGTATTGAAGGAGAGCGCTGTACATTCACTCCCACCCACCTACAATCCCTGCTGGTATGAGACTCGAACCTGCAACCTTTGGGTTACGAGTCCGAATCTCTAACCATTAGGCCACGACTTCCCCCACTAAAGCTGCTGTTTCCTGTTTGCATTCAGAGACTGACGCCTCCAAACTGTTTGGAGGCCAGAGCTAATCTATACCGGAAGCACTTACAGCCCATCTCAGAAAGCACGGCTAAAAGCATCATGGGACTGCACTGAAGATGACAGATTTAGAAAATGTAGGCCTCTTCACTATTCAGTGTATGCGGTTCTGGATAATTAGTCAACGAGAGTCCACTTTAACAATGAGTGCTTCTGTTCGATGAGGCCATGGGTCACCCCGTCTTTCTACGTGTCCCTCATTATATATGTGAGCATACCAGAATATGCAGCTATTTGCTTGGCCTGGGTGAACTTTAAGACTTTTGTGTTTCTGGGTCAGTGAGGGGTCAAATCTCATATGGTGGTGGCAAACAACCAAGAGGACTGACTAACCCAGAATACTAACTACATGGTAATGAAAATTGCTATGTGTCTGTGATTTCTGTGTGACAGAGCCGTTTTAAAAGAGGAAGGACAATGTTTTAGGAGATGGAAATAATATCTCCATGGGAATTCCTAGTCATTTTGAGAAACAGCAGGGGCGCATCTTTAACTGGGCGACTGGGTGGTGGAATAACCAAACAGCAGTCACACCGGCACATATCCACAACTGTCTTACATAGAGCATGACAGGAAAAATAGATTCATATTCATGTGGAGACACATTAATCATCATGTGACCACAATAAAACTGTAAAAGGAATATTATGGACTACATAATGCAGTTTGTTTTCAAAAATGAGATACGAGTCAATTTCCCCAGAATTTAACCTGGAACATTGTTTTAAACCTATTCTTTCTCTCTCACCTTTGCAAAGTTTTTAATCATTTAGTTTTAACTAAATTTAAGCAATTTAATTAAAGGGGTCCTATTATGCTTTTTCACTTTTTCAACTTTAGTTAGTCTGTAATGTTGCTGTTTGAGCATAAAAAAGATCTGCAAAGTTACAAAATTCAAAGTCCACTTCAAAAGGAGATATTTTATTTAACAGAAATCACTTTTCAAAAACTACAACGAACGACTCATTTGGACTACAACGCATATTTTCCGGGATTTGTGATATCACAAATATCGACGAATGGGACGAGACCTGGTTGAGCTGCACTAGAGAAGGCAACGAGTGTTATCACTGTGTCGGAGACACGCTAGCTTTCCCAAGGCAGACGAACTTAGGGTGGTTACAATCATCTGGGTTTAAATCGCACTCAAATTGATTTGATACAGGAACTATTCGAGCCGCTCATGCCAGACTGGGGAGAGAGGTGTTGTAATAATGTAAAATATGTTAAAAATAATGTTTTTTCGAACAACCTAGTCTGAGAGCCTGTTCGAGTACACCCCCAAAACAAAATCAAGACTTTGTAAAAGAGCATAATAGGACCCCTTTAAGAAATTATTCAATAAAAGCTATTAATTAGAAGACACTTCATATTTTTTTAAATATTAAAAAATGTCTGAATATTAAAAATAAATTAGTATTTAAGGTCATATCACATACATATATATATATATATATTACATAAAATGTAATATTAATTATAAATTTAGCCCATTTAATAAAGAAATTGATAAATTATTAAACATTATTAATTAAAAGATACTTAACATTATATTAACATTTAAAACATTTTTTTTTAATTAATAAATATTTAAGGCCAAATTATTCTATATTTTAATTATTATTTATTATTATGTATTATATATATTTTTTATATATTATATATACATAATTATTTTTTTGCATGCTAACCACCAAGCCATGACCCCAACACTATTGTCTTTTTTCCTGTCTCCCATTGCAATCCTACCTATTTATTTATTCACCCTTTAAACATTGTACTGCACGGGAACACTAATAATAAATTACCACTAAAGTCTAGTGATTCAATCCCAACACCAACACCTTCCAAAAAAAAAAAAAAAAAAAAAGTTACACAAAAGAAAAAGTGAACACCTATTATTCTCGTTTTAAAATGGCAACAGTATTATCCAACAGGAAGACCCATTCACAACAGAATTGTGCCTTTCTCTAACCATTCACAAATCTGACCGTGTAGATTACCACTACACACCATCTGCACTGAGTCTAGAACTTGCCACAGATGGTTGTCCTCCTGCTCAAGGGCCTTACGTATGTCCTGCTCACCCTTATGTATGGCAGTCAGCTCAAAGACTTTAGTGTCCTGTCCTTTGCGACAGTTTGGAACAGAGTCCAAAATTCAGCTCAAGAAGAGAGATTACATGAGTGCGCTGACCAGGCCGTAATCCCAAATTAAAGGCAAGAGATGTCGACCCGCAGGAGCAAAATAATCTAATCCTGCTGCAATTATGAGCATCACAATATAGATGCACAACAACTATCTGGCCTCTCAGCTTCATGGCTTGCAAAAACGGCCGTGCGGTTTTTCCACTTTGCCTGTTTATTTATCTGGGTTAAGAAGTTTATCGCATTAAAACCCTGTGAGCCACAGGAGAGACAATACTTTGTGCGAAATCAGATTAGAGTGCACTGTGCAAAAAGTGAAGGAGAGAGAGAAAAGTGGGGGAAACGAGGCAAAATATATATTAGCAAAGGTTTGGTAACAATTGACATTTATTTGCATTTTTTTAATTCCATTTTGCAGATGATGTGGATATGCAGCCGTCTTACCTGAAGGGAAGATATGAGGCATTGGAGCCGGAGATAAGAGCTCTATAGGCTTCCTCAGGTGTTTTCTTCAGGTAAATCACCTGAGACAGGAAAAAGGAAAGGAAGTGACATTAGAGCAACAGCAAAGAAGCTGAATGCTAGGTACTAATTCTATAACTTTAACATCAGTGTTGTTATTGTTAACTAAAACCATTCAAAATTATTTTTGGTAATTATTGGTAAATTATTTTGTAAAAAATAATTTTTGTGGTAATTGAAAAAGCTGAAATAAAATGAAATATAAATATTACATGAAAAACAAACTTAACTTAAATGAAAATTGTTGCACTAGAAACTAACAAAAATAAGCAACTACTAAAATTACTAAAACTAAAATTGAAAAAATTATAGCTATAGAGAAAAAAATCGAATACTATATTTAAAATATATAAAATATTTAAAAAACTAAAATAAAAATGACAAAACACAAACTTAAAACAAAACTTTAACAAAACTAAACAAACTAAAATTATAATGAAAACTGAAAATATAAAATTAAAAATAAAACCCAACTTAAAATATTAGTAAATACTATAATTGTTTTTAAATGGCACTAAAATTGAACACGGTTCATTCAGATGGTTTCCAATCAGATTAACCGATTAGGGGAAAACAGGGGAAACTATTCATTTCTAGATGCCCAGTTTTTTTTTTTTTTAATATCCTTCAAATTTAGCCAACATTTCATCATTTTAGACAATTTCACCCTGGCCAAAATGAAAATAATATTTTAGTTGACAATCGTGCAAAATGACATTTGATTTTTCTTCCAAAAATGTTTTGTTAATTACAATCTGACTTCTAGAAAGAACAATTTATACACAAATCGGGCGTTGCTACTTCCCAACTGCCTATCTTTTTTCCTATCCACGTCTGTCCGTGTTCCTCATTATCCCATACACAAACGCACTTTCAGGAAAGTGATGTTCGGGCAGAATGTGTCACACAGATGAGATGCTGTGGCTCAGCACAATGGGGCCCTTGTCAAGCTGGGACGACTTGTCACGGCACAGTGCGGGAGTCTCACACACACAGACTTGCTGAAGCGATGAGTTTTAGCGGTCATCTACTCCCTACATCCACGTCAATCCCTCTTGACATCATGGAAAGAAAGGACTCTATAATAAGAACTCCGCTCACTCCTTCAACATTTCTGTGGCTTGATGTCAGAATGCAGCAGGACGGTGGCAACACGGAAAAGAAACCTATGTGAACTGCGCCAAAGCCCAACACGCATTAAACACAGAAGAACTCAAAAATGGAAATTATGTCATTTATTCACACTCAGTTCTTTCTAAATGTTATTTTGTCCATGGAAGATAAATGAAGAAATTTTGAAGTTTGTGCTAGTCGCTCTTTTCCATATTACAAATAAATGGAAACTGTTTGTGAAGCTTCAAAAACATTAAAACATCAAATTAAAAATAATTTTTGACTCAATTTTCCTCTATTTTTGAACAAATCATTCAGACCAGTTTTATGAATCGATTCACTGAAATGATTCATCTAGAAAAAATGATTCATTCACAAATCTGACATAGCTACTTCTCTTATGAATGTGATTCTGCAAATAACTCCCATATTTTCCAAGAAAGTAAGTCATACCTGACTATTATTTACATTCACAAAATAATCTAAAATACCAGTAATTAAAATGAAACTGAATGAATCTAAAACTAATGATGTGTGGGAAATGTGCTATACAAATAAACTTGGGCTCAACGTATCGCTCTCATTCGACACAAATCCAAATCTTTTGCATGCATCACGTTAATTGCATTATATACGTTGCAGCACATTTCAGAAGAAAAAAAATTCTAGAAAATGTGCTAACAATTGATCGTACAACTTCAGAAGATGTGGAATATAGAGTCATGTAGTCATATGGGCCATTTTACATTTTTGGTGCATTTGCATCTTTTATGAAGCTTGAAACCCTCAGTCTCCATTCATTGTAACTGCATGGAAAAGAGCGACCTGCACACTCTTCAAAATATCTTCTTTTTTGTTCTACAGTAAAACGTCATAGAGGCTTGAAACAACGTAAATAACAGAATTTTCATTTTTGGTTGAACTAATCTTTTTAAGATCTCCAGTACTTGACAAAACATAAAACACGAACTAGGAGTGAGGTCAAGTGTCTGTTTTTGAAGGCTGTCTGTTCTGCAGGAGGCCAGAGCTTTATAATTTGTGCACGAGCTCATGAAATATGCACCGATCAAACAATTAGCTGAACAGTTCGGCAGATTAAGTTCAGTCCCGTGAGAAGTGTCAGCGCTTGTTTGTTTGTGTTGCGCCCTACTGTCCCATGTGACTCTGATGGAAGATCTTGGCCCAGCTGTTCAACCAGTACAAATAATCTCCTTCATATGAAAAAACTGGGTCATCTACTGCAGGGCAGATCAGCAGCAAACATCTGCGCTTGCCAGAGCAGCACATCCCACACAAGCCTGGATCAATAAAAACCTACTTACAGAAGATTCACTACAAGTGCAGAAAGACAAAAACATTACATTGAACACACGTCCATGCATGCAAAGAGTGACAGGCAAGACCACGCAGAGCAGAAACAAGGTTTTATGCAATTTGGAGATGATTATGGTAATATATGAGAGAATTACTTAAAATACTATTTCACCTTGAGCACTTTATTGAGTCTATAGGAGAGAATCTGCATGATTTGATGGCCGTCTCCAGAGGTTGGGTTTTTGAAGGTAGCTAAAATGAGTTTCCATTTAAGACAACTAAATTAACACCGGGATCAAGGTTCATACTAAATTTAGACTGGGAGGGTAAATGTGACCATTCCTAGTAGACCGATTTTGAGGAAGTACACCAACTTTGAGGGATATTTGCTAGATAATTAGAATTGCAAAGATAAAAAAATAAAGCAGCCCACATTTTCTCTAGATTCTTCGTCAGGTTTTCTGTGAGGTTTCCCTCATGAACTTCTGAACGCCGTACACTGTCATTTCAAGTTCATCAAACTTTGCATCAAATTTCATTTTATGGAAGTTCTATTTACACTTCTCCCCAAAATATACATATAAATAACTTGTTTTATCCCAACTGTAAACGGAGTTGTGAATTGCATGTGATGTTTTACAGTTAAAATGTAAAAATTTTTTTTTAATTATACTATTATTATGAATGTAGACTTATGTAAACTTTTCACACTGAATTTATATATAATTAAGGTTTTTCTAATGTTTTTCAAATCAGTTTCTTATGCTCACCAAGGCTGCATTTATTTGATGACAAATACAACAAAAACACTAATATTGTGAAATATTATTACAATTTTAAATAACAGTTTTCTATGTTAATGCATTTTAAAATGTAAATTTATTCCTGTAATGCAAAGCTGAATTTTCAGCATCATTACTCCAGTCTTCAGAGTCATATGATCCTTCAGAAATTATTCTAATATGCTGAGCATAAGAGACATCTTTCAAAAACATTTACAAATCTTAATTATTCCAAATTTTTGACCGGTAGTGTAAATACTGCATTTTTTTTTTAATTATTATTATTATTATTAATTTATTTTGCAAAATAAGGTAAATTCCATATATAAGGGAACCAAAAAAGTGGAAAGTTGAGTCACAGCTACAAACATCCAACACAGGATTTATGGTGGCACACAGTCCAAAATCAGATTACACAAACAGCCAGATTATAACTTGTTATGGCCCTCATCCAATTTAAAGCAAGGGAACATTAGATCCCCCCTCTTTGAATAGCCCAGAATCAGGAAAAAAGGATGCTGATATTGTAACACTACCACCCTTTTCGGTTCCCTAATATTTCAATTTGCAGTTCTTGTTGGGATAAGTAAACAATGGCTTCTTTGAAGGAAACTGGAGAAGCATCTGTCATACCACTTCCTTTCCATGTTGCCATTTAGGGCTCATCAATATTCATGAGGACAGAAGCATTCTTATCTCATAGTGAAATAGTAGCTGCTTTGTCAGTACAAATCAGCACAAATAAACTGAATATACTTGAGTAAATGTGCAGACCAGGTTATGAATATTATAGAAAAAATTGGTGCCATGACCCTTTAAAACTGGGCAGTCATTTAAAAGAAGGGCTTATCAGAATGGTACACTAACCCACATTACAGCTGGCACCTGTGCCTTTGACAAAGCCAACGGTGCCATCTGAGCAATAAATCTGCCCAGACCGGAGTACTTCCTTGAGAGCGCCAGGAACAGGAAGAGTGGAGATGTCCAATGGCGCAATCAGCTGGCATGGCTCACACGGTCATGGCGTTTCACAAGGGCCGCTGTGTACGTGGTGGTCTAGATGAATGAATGCAGTGGAACAGGACAAACTGGCATTCGAGCCAGTCAAGGACATAGTTATTGTGCTGCCACAAAGCGGGGGGACTACCAGTCAGTAAGCACTCTGTCGCTGTCTCTGAGGGGGAGTCAGGTATGAGGACGCTGGCAAACATTCGAGAAGACTTTGTGCGACAAACAAATTTGCTGTCGATGTGGGAGGACTGTTGGTTTTGATGGAAACAGCTGAGTGGCTAATTTGCAGGGCCATGACAGATTCCGCCCTGGATGCGAATCCTCGAGTTCCGGTGAAAGTAATTAATGGCAGTAAGAGAGGAAGACAGAAGGACAAATGGAAGTGGGATACTCACAGCATAAGCACCGATAAGCACAGCAGCGTTAGCCCTTTTGCGCTGGTCAAAGCTGGTGTAGTGCACAATCCTCTTTCTGGTCAGTGTAAACGACTGGAAAGAAAAACATGCATTAAACTGCAATCAAAGTTCGAGAATACATTTTAAATATGCAATTTATTTTGGATAGCTTGCATTACATCAATTGTTCAATGTAGTTTTCATTCCATTTTATTGAAGATGAAACTCAAATAGCATAAAGTTGCATAACTTATCTGTGGAATTTTTTTTATTTAGTTTTAGTAGTTCAAATTTCCTGCAAGTTATTAACAAAAACGACATGTACATCAATCATTAAACTTTTTGTAATTCAAAAAAGTTCTAAACAGCATCAATGGTTAACTCGCATTTTACAGAAACAAAACTGTAATGAGAAAAAAAACTGCATTAATGACTACAACGTAAAATGTTACTCTAAAACCATGTTAAACCAAACTAAACTTTTCATTATTATTTATTATTATAACAAACACCAAGTTTAGTCAAATCAAAATGTAATTTCTCATCTGTCTTTCAAAATGTAACAAAATTTGCATTTTCATTTCTTTAAGATGCTACTGACATACAAGCATTTTCAAGATATTGTAATGCAAAATTTGTTGCATTATACAATTTACATCAATTTGCATCAAATCGAAACACCAAGTTTAGTCAACAAAATAATTTAACTATCTTTCAAAATGTACAACATTTGCATTTCAATTTCAGAAATTAAAATGTAGATTGTTACATTATGCAATTTATATCAATGGTTAAACTTTTTAACAAACCAACATTTTAACAAACTAAACAAAATGCATAAAACTGCATCAATCATTTTTTTTACCAAAATTAGAAATTGTATCAATAGTAATGCAATTTTAATTAGAAAAAAAATTCATCATTCATTTAACATGGTTTTCATTAGAGTGGTGTTTAAAGGAACTCCAATAAAAATTGGATGAAGTTTTCTTTAAAATGCTATTTTATCCAAAATTATTAAATCACTGCATTTAACTTTTTGTTAAAGCATTTTAACATGAAGAGAAAAAAGAACTGCAACACTCATTTAACTTGTTGGTTTGTCTTGATTAAGAGTTAAAATCTTGGTTTAATGTTAAAATCACTCCAAACCCATTTACAGTTAACATGACTGGTTAGATGTTTGGGAAACAAGTTATGAGAATCTCATTAATGAATATCTCAGTATCAACCAATTTCACACGCCTAACACCCTTTTTCCTGCTTAAACTAGCTTGAGGTGTTCTCTGGATGACTCAATTGAATGTCTTTTACATGAGGGAATTTGGAGACAGATGTTCTAGCATCTGCCCCAGCTGCTTCAGTAACGCACAGTGAGGTGCTGCAGGTGAGCCGAAATGTGTGCACAAGAGAAACGGCATGTAGCTGCTAAAAGGCAACTCATGCACAGACAACACGCCAAAAGCTTCAGAATAATCTGTGCTGGAGCCGAGCTGAACTGAAAAGCCCTCAAAGCATCTGTTCCTGTGTCGCTCCACATGCCGCAGAGTAAAGATTTGGCTGGGGTGGGATGAGAGTGAAATCAAACTGCCAGGATGAGAGTGAAATCAAACTGCCAGCACAACAAATGAGGATTCAAACTTGTCCACCTACAACCCGCCCCCAAAGAAAAAGAGACATACCGAAGGCAAAACTAAGGAAAGGATTTTTCCAAAGCTATCTAAGCTGAGAGATCTGTAAAATGTGTTTTTTGTTGTTTTTTTTAACAGGAGAACCTCTTAAAAATGTGACTTTTTTGCCTCTTATTTTTTCTCTATTAATTTTCAAAATGAATATTTACTACCTTAACTTTACAACATTTTGTAAAGTCATAGTAACAGGATTGAACCTTTTTATCTTTCCAATGATAAGCACAGTAATATTGAATGTCAACTAGTTTGGAAAGTGAAGGTGTACAGGTCATCTTTTCTCATAGAGCATATAGTAACGTTATACGAACAGGATTGAACACTTATCTTTCCAAGGTGAATCAATAAACACAGCAATACTGAATGTCAAATAGTTTGGAAAGTGAAGATCTAGAGGTCATATTTTCTCAAAGTCATAGTAACAGAGTTGAACCAGTTTATCTTTCCAAAATGAATCAATAAGCAAAACAATAATTAAAGTCAATTAGTTTGGAAAGTGAAGATCTAGAGGTCATCTTTTCTCATAAAACCAGAGTAACAGAGTTGAACCATTTTGTCTTTCCAAAATGAATCAATAAGTAAAACAATACTTAACATCAATTAGTTTGGAAAGTGGTGATCTATAGATCATATTTTCCCATAAAGTCATAGCAAATCGTATAGCTAAACCGTTTTATCTTTCCAAAATAAATTGTAAAAAAAATTACTTAATGTCAACTAGTTTGGTAAGTGACGATGTAGAGGTCATCTTTTGTCACTGAGTCGTAGTAACAGGGTTGAACCCATTTATTCATCCAAGGTAAATCGATAAGCAAAACAATATTGAATGTCAGCTAGTTTGGAAACTCAAGATCCTTTCCTTTCTCTAGCCATCTGCAGATCATCTCTTCTCACAGAGTCAAAGTAACAGGGTTGAACCCTTTTTAATTTCTAGGCAAATCAATAAGCAAAACAAAGTTAACAATCACTCAGAAAGTTAATTTTTATAAAACAGCAACATCCACATGCAGGAGGTGGTTATACTAGTGAGGGGAAGAAATCTGTAAAAAAATTACATTTAGCTTAAAAACAAAACAATCTCAAGATTGACAGCATTTTTTTAATCAGATTGTACTTCAAAAACACCAACTTGAGGTTGCACAAGCTCCTCTCAGCAATGCTAGAAAGCTGATCTTATGATAACCAGATACTACCAGAACAGATACTACCCAAGCTTCCCTTCTTGCTGTTTGGTTCCTCCAGCCTACAACCAATCATGTGGCCCAAACCAGTGAGGTTTGAAGAAAAAAAAAAGTCATCTCTATGGCAACAACTTGTAAATTACAAACAGGCGGGGACATTCGCATGTGGTTGGATGGGTGTGCACATAGTGAAAGTGGTTAGGAGGAAAACACATCATGCTTTTACCACAGGACTTTACCTTTAATATTCCAAAACATGAACACATGAGAGACCTACACCTTGCCAGCTTTAGGAACACAGAACAAAACACAAAAGATAAAGTGGTTTATTATTATTCAAACACCTTCCTTTAGCATGGAAAGATGCTTAAGTAAGTTGACATGTCAGCAGAATTAATCACTACAAGGACACTATAAACTTCTTGTCTGCTTTGGGTTTGGTCCTCTTTGTTGACCTTTCAATTTAGGTTAATAGGAAACTAAAGTTGGAGTTGTGTGAAGTTAACCGTTTTATGATCCTGAAAGCTGATGAATCTTAAAAACTACATTTCTAAAGTCTGCTAAAGCAGAGGAACATTGTAGCTTTGTTCCAAAACCAAGTGACCTGCTTAACTAGACAGCAAAGGTACTTTCCAAAAGGCAGGTGGCTGGCATGTGCTATTAAGAACCTTTAGCCAAAATATTAGGAAGAATCACAAGTATCATTAGTGGAGAAGGTCCCAGAATGCATTGCAGTGAGTTCAGAAAACTGAGACGGCATACAATGTACTTATTTCATTTGAAAAGTATTGATAAAAAGTTCCAATTAAAAAACAGACTTGTTCCCAACGTTTGTGCTGTTAGCTTAGGAATAGCAACACGCTAATGTAAAACTACTGGAATCAATTGAGTGAGTCTCATTTTGTGTGGCATATTGAGTTACACCTATGTATTGTTCTAAATCAGTCACCTATGAGGTTTCATTTTGGATAAAATGCTGCCTTTGAAGGTAGCTGTCTATGTAGGTAGTAGTAGTGCTGGGCGGTATGACCAAAAATTTATATCACGGTATTTTTCAAAATTATACCGGTTTCACGGTACATGACGGTATTTTTTTTTTCATGCATGACCGGGTGTTAACCATATTTTCTACTAATTGAGAGATGAAATACCGCAGTATATTGACTTAGAATGCCCTATTTTACTGTCATGACTGAATATTGTCAAAAAATACCACACTAAATAGTGACTAAACACGACCCCTTTTAATACATGTTAACCAGGAGTCATTTATAATCGCGGCATTGTTCGTCTGATAAAATCAACATGCATCTACACTAAAGAGCGGCTATGCGGTTGTTTTGGCTATATTACTTTTTTGTCTCATGCAGCGCACTGCCTGCGTCTGAGTAAAAAACTAAAAAATACAACAAACTAAAAAGTGCATGTGATATTAACAGACGAACTACGCTCATATTTATAATTCCAAACAATCAGTAAGCGACAGGTGCTAGGAAACGCTGTGTTGTACTCATTTATTGACGAGTCGGCTGCGGTGCGGCCAACTGAATGCGCTGCTTCTCTGCCGCTCACTGCACAGAACAGACGCAGAGAGAGGTGACACTTCTCCGGGAAAGTCAGACCTCGCGTTCGCGGGACAGCACTGGCGAAATCTTCCAACTGAACCATAGCTAAGGTTTATACAAAAAAGTCGCTAGGTTTGTCAGTATGAATATTCTATGGAAAAAAGCCGCTAAAAGGGTCTGAAAGTTGCTAAATCTAGTGCTAAAGTCGCGCTCGTGTGTGTGAGACGCGGGAGCTGATGGCAGGGGCGGTGGATATTTGTGGCGGTCAATGTGGATATTGTGGATGAGTTCTTCTGTCATCACGTTCTATTAGTTCTACAGCTTCAGTTTCGGAACTTTCACGCTTAGTAACACATACAGCTGTTCCCTCACCACAGTGCAACAGTGAAAAGGGACCCCTTTCAAACAGTGTCGCGTTCCCAACGTTGTTTAAGCGACATACACCGGTATTGCGGTATTTTAAAAATTCATATCATAACAAAAATAAACACCGGTATTCGGTATGAACCGGTATACCGCCCAGCACTAAAAGAACTATTACTTTAGTCAATTATTAAAGTATTACATAGGCTGATTTTTTCATTTTTAAGTATTTGGGATTTTAAGAAATGGAAAATGTGCTGAATGTTTCATTTCATCCAAGTGAAATTAGCAAAGCAGTTAGA